AGAAAAAACCAAAATTTACTACATGTATATATTATAATAATTCAAAATAATTTAAATATAACATCAAATAAAAGTGAAATGAGAATCATATATTTATGTTTAAACTAATTAGAGAGATTTTAGGAAATTCGCTCAAATTTTGTTATATTAGCATTAAATCATCATATTTGATTTCCTTATCTATAAAAATCGTAAAGAATATACCATAAATTAAGAGTTTAGATATAATAATTAGTTGAGAAATATATATATTTTAGATTTTATTAATTAATTTCGTTTTTGAATTTTGCCAAAATTTAAGAAAAGATCCGATTGAAGATTTCCGGATCAAAATCAGAAAAAAAATCTGACCCGATGAGAGAGAAAAAATGTAATTCAAAAATGTTAAGTAGATATATATTTAGTAATAACTACATATATAATCAATCATTTAAATTGCTAGGATTTTTTTTGGAAAGTCTCATTATTTGTATCCAAAAGACTTAATTGAGGGTCAAAATTAAAAAAAAAAAAACAAAACTGACCCAAAAAAAGAGCAAATATGTACTTTAGATTGTACACATATTTTTTTCTTTATTGATTGAGATATATGTCCGTTTTAAAAATTTAGAAAAATAGCATATGTAGAAAAAAATCTAAAATTTTATTAACTATATATATTTTATAATAATTAAAAATAATATAAATATAAATCAAATAAAAGTGAAATGAGAATCATATATTTTTGTTTAAATTAGGTAGAGAAGTTTTAGGAAATTAGCTCAAATTTGTTATATTAGCATTAAATCATCATATTTGGTTTCCTTATATATAAATATCAGAAAGAATATGCCATAAATAAAGAGTTTAGGTGTAGTAATTAGTTGAGAAAATATATATTTTTAGAATTTATTAATTAATTTTGTTTTTGAATTTTGCCAAAAAATAAGGAAAGATCCGATTGAAGATTTCCGGGTCAAAATCACAAAAAATCCGACCCGATTGGAAAGAACAAATTTGTACTTCAAAAATGTTAAGTAGACTAGATTTGAACCCGCGGTACACCGCGGGGCTATAATTTTTTTAAAAAAATCTAAATATAATTAGTTTTGTTTATTAATAGAGAGTATAATAAAATATTTCGACCTATTTTATAAATGTACCATCCATATATCTATATTAATAATTTTGAGTATATTAATTATGTTTTAGGTTTAAATGGTATATCTATATATACACTTAAACGACATTTCGCTTTCTTCTTCTTCTTGCCTCAGTTTAGGAGAAAGATTTTTCTTGCGGTACACCGCGGAGCTATTATTTTTTTTAAAAAAAATTTCTCCTTTAACTTCCAAATCTAGATTTTACCCCGCGGTACACCGCGGGTCAATTTTTTTATAACTAAAAAATTATTTTGCAAAATTTTAAGTTGTATTTGTTTTGTTAATATTGTTTATTTTGTTTAGTGTTTCTGATTTTATAATTAAATTTTGATTTTTAATTCTAGGATTTCATCCATAGTATATTGTTTAATATTAATATTGATCTAAACCTGTTGCACCATATAACCCCGTCCCGTAAAATTAAACATCATTTGTTATTTTTTTTTGAATAATATTTTTATCCACTACGGGTTGCAGGTTCATGCGGATAAGCCCGTAGAGAGTTGCGGGTTTGCAGATCCACCCGCCAAAAGAGAAGCTATCTTTTGAAACCCTTTGTTTTGTTTAGAGGTTTTAAGAAAATATCTAGGCCTGGGCATTCGGGTACCCATTCGGGTTCGGTTCTTTTTTTTCGGGTATCGGGTCTATTCGGGTAGGTGGTCAAGACACATTCGGGTATTCTAAAAATTCGGTTCGGGTTCGGGTCGGTTCGGGTATTTTAATAAAAAAGCAAAATACCCGAAAATAACCAAAAATACCTGGAATATTTTCGGGTTCGGGTCGGGTTTGGGTTTTTAACTCATATATACCCAAATCTAACCGAAATACCCGATTTCTCGAAAATACATTGGTTACTCTTTACCCAAATATAACCAAAAATATCTAAAATACCTAATATATTCGGTTTTATGATTGTAATTTTAGGTATTTCGGGTATTATAAAAATAAAAATAACTAATATTTTTAGGTGTATATTTGTATTCGAATTTCAATGTGAAAATCTTTACTGAAATGAGACGAATCTAAATAATTAATGCTAGTGGCATGTCATTGTAAATACTTCTCAACTTCAGGATTTATTTGCTAATTGTGATCCAAAAATGTATATATAGATTTTTTTTTTGTCATCTAGATTTAATATTTATTGCAAATTCTGAGAACTGTTACAATTAATTTTTTTTTTGCAGATAAAAATCAGAAGTTAACTAAGTCGAGATTTTTAAAAAGATTGTGTAGAGATTTTTGGTAAATTGTTGAGAACATATTTGATTTCAGAATCTTTACTTAAATAGATAAAGAAAGATTTTGTAGAGACTTTTGCTAAATATATGAGAAATGAATTTCAATTAAAAATCTTTACTTAAATAAAACAAATCTAAATAATTAATGCTAGTGGCATGTCATTGTAAATACTTCTCAACTTCATGATTTATTTGCTAATTGTGATCCAAAAATGTATATATAGATTTGATTTTGGAATAAAATATAGAGTTTTAGACTCTATTTAGTTATTTTTAGATTTTTTTTTAATTCTTAAACTCATTTGTTGTTTTACATTTTGATGAAACTTTATTGTACCGTGTAAGAAGAATGGATAGAATGGTGAAAGAAATAACCGAGATTAGTTGTTTTGAATTCGCGATGGTATATTAGTTTATTTCCGTCATTGGCGATCTCCTACTATTTTAATATTTGTAACGGTTTTAGACTTTTACTTAGATTTAAAAATTTAATTTGAATCACTTTATTATTATTGTTAGACTTCATATTTTGTAAATATAGTTTGAATATTTTATTTTTATATTTATAAAAACTATATAATCTCTTTAAATATTAAATATATTTTAATCGATTGACCCGTGGTCGAATCCGATTGACCCATTGACCCGCTGACCCATAAGGTAGTCTGGTTCACTATGTGGGTCGGGTTTAAAAACACTGCCGCGAACATGGTGGAAACTCTAGATACGGTTGGTGCGGTGGTGATGTGTCCGTTGGTGGAAAGAGGTGACCGCGGTTGTTGGAATCTATCACATTGATGAATGATGACTCATTGAGATTTTTCTAGGTACTCTTCAGAAGGAAACCAAGGTGGGAGATCTAGCAAGCACTGTAGTGATACGTCGGAAGTATCCTTACTCCCTAGGCCATTGAGTCAAAATGATTTGCTTACAAAAAAAATTCAGGTCTAGTCTTCTTAAAAACGACATGGTTTTTCTAATCTAGTAGATGAGATTACTGTGTTCCATGTTTTTTTTCTTGCTTTCTATTGGATATTTTAAGCTTTTGTAATTCTAAACTATTCTTTTTTGAAATTTTATTTGTTAATTTTGTTTATAAAATTAACATAGAATTATCTTTTAATTAATGTGTGGATGCTTAAAAACATTCTGCTAAAAGTTTTTATTTATTAAATAGTTTTTATTTCCTTAATTTAAATAGTTAAAATAAAATGTTTAGAAAATATAAATAGGTTAATTAAAGAAGTGTATATATATATATATATATATATATGAATATGATCAACAAATCCCTATTAGTATATATGTCAAAAAGAAGAATTCAAGGTTTATGAGTGGAACAGGTGATGGAGATATGGATCAACAACTCCCAACTAATAAGATTTTAGAAATCCAAAAAAGTTTAGGAGAGAGAACGAGGAAACCATGTGAGAAATTATTCTCACATTGGTAGCAATACGAATCCTTCCGTTTTTTTATAAGTGATGTTTTATAAGAACGCACATAAATTAAAAATCATTTAATATTTGTTTATTTCTAAACTAAAATATTATTTATTATCAAATCAACTAATAAAAATAATCTACAAAATATAGATCGTCAAAACCAATAAAAAAATAATTAATTTTGCATTGAAAATTGAAAACATCATCTATTTAAGAACAAATTAGAAGCTTAAAACATCACTTATAAAAAAACTGAGTGAGTATGAGAGAACAAACTTTAGTTTTGATTAGTAGCATTGTAGTAGTACATATAATTAAATCTAATCATAATAAAATCAATAAGAAAAAAGTATTTAATTGAATAAAAATAGAATTCACTATTTAAAATAAATTAAACTAAAATAAATTTAATGTAGTTTTTTTTTTTTAAATAAACATATATTTTATTTTGAATTTTAATTGTCACCAGAATATGTAGATATTAAAAGGTAAATTAAAAGATAATGAAAAGTTTTAGAAACAAAGATAATTCAGATTATTAGGAAGTCAAAATAGTTCATATTTTTGAATTAAAAATACTAATAACTAGATTTGGACCCGCGGTACACCGCGGGGCTATAATTTTTTTTAAAAAAATTTCAAATATAATTTGTTTTGTTTATTAATAGAGAGTATAATATAATATTTCGACCTATTTTCTAAATGTAAGATCCATATATCTATATTAATAGTTTTGAGTATATTAATTTTGTTTTAGGTATAATGGTATATAATATAGTAGTTTGTGGATATATCCATTGAACTGAATATTAAACACAAACAATAGGATATATGTATATATATATATATATATATATATATATTTGTATAATGTAGCATTAATAGTTTGTTAATTATATTGTTAAATTATTTAACAAACAGTTAAATAATATTTGGTTTTCTCATTTTGTTTGTTTGTAAATTAAATAATTAATCTCTTTAATTTATATAGTTTTGTTGTAGAATGAAAATATTAGGGGTGGCAATTATGATTTGCATAATAGTTATAGTTATAACTCGAATTTTAAAAAACTTTGATTTTTAAACTGAACCAATTTAATTTATTTATGTATAATTGGAAAAGAAAAGCATGTTGATCTTTGTTTTTAAAAAATATACATGAAGACATGAGAATGCTGTAAAAATTATGGAGAAATAGTGGCTTGAAGAGCAAGATGAGGAGACACAGCAACCTCCGGTTCCTTCTAGGCGATTCAACTTCAGGTGAAGGAATGGTAATGGAAGCTTGCAGTTTGAGAATAGTTAAAGGTCAGAGTCAGTAAGAATATTTTCTGATCTTAGAAGTGTTCGGTTTCATTGTCAATGGCTTGTTTATTATTATGTTCATTTGGCGGTTTTTTTGTTTGAATTCATTAAATTTAGGCTCCTTGCATCATTGAGAGGTCTTTTGGACATTGAGAACTGGGAAGCAACATGTGGACTGCAGTTTAAGAATTAGCAAGGATTAGAAGTTCTTGGTGCGTATTTACTCTAGCAGTAAAACTTTATTTGAAATAAACTTAGCAATGAAGTGACATAGGCAATAAACTGTAATAGATTGTTGTAGATAAAAATTGAAACGTGAGTGAGAAGGATAATTCTGAATATAAAGATCACAGTTTGAGTAAAATAGCAAGGTAATATGATTCTGATTGTCCTTTCTCTGATATTGCTGTGTCATTCTTCCTTTTGATTGAATTGGTTGCTAACGTGTGACCTGCATGAGTGTTATAAAAAAAAGAAACATATTAGTTAGTGATTGTTTGAGTTCGTAACCATATTGAAATTACTAAGACATAAAGGTAAAGTGAATTTACCTTACCAGAGGATACATAGCAAAGACTGACAATAGTAGTAGCCATTGGAAGAGAAGAAAGGTATGCTAATTATTTGTAAATGATTGTTTGCTATTGTGTTTGGTGATGGAGAATAAGGTTTAGATGTAAAGTATATATAGGGAAGTAAATTAGGTTTAGTTTGTACCTAGGCTAGTCTCGAAATTTTGAAACACACGCAAGATTTGTGGGATACAATCTTTGATATTATTGAGTTTATGGAATATGCTAGGATCAATATTTTATTTGGTAATTAATATTCCCCTTATATTTCGTTAATTTGACAGATATTTTAGGGCAAAATTACTTGAAGATTAAGGTGGACTGTTTTAAGAGAAGGAGATATCTTGGGAATATTGGCAATCTCGGAAAGCAATTCCGAAACACAAAAATAATTTTGGTGAAGAATATTTTGGTAGTTAAGTTTGAGATATTTTAGGAAGATTACAACCAATAAGATTATGTAATTAATATGGTTTTGCGAAATAATATTTTAGGAAAGCAATGTATAGTAACTAATTTTCTATTTTAATATTTCGTTGGGTTAAGTTTAGATTTGATAGGAATAATTAAGATTATGATGAAGATTATTTTGGTAGTAAAGTTTGGTGTAGAATATTTTGGTAGTTAAGTTTGAGATATTTTAGGAAGATTACAACCAATAAGATTATGTAATTAATATGGTTTTGCGAAATAAATTTTTGAAAAAACGTGGGTGTGATGGGCCAAATGTTGGGCCTCGTCGTTGTGGCAAAAACAAATATTGTTGAACAGAGATTTGAGCCAAATTATTGGGCCAAATTTGTACTATCCGAAATTGAAACCGGGTCACTCGTTTTTTAAAAAAAAACCACCCAACCAATGGCATTCTTTGTAAATACATTCCAACTCCAGGATTTATTTGCTAAAAGTCATCCAAAAATGTATATATAGATTCAAAATATTTGTCAAAACTCAAAAGATAGTAAACTTATACAATACATAAAAGTAGCAATTTAAAATAAAAATCCAATAAATAACCAGCGCATACCCTGCTTTTAATGATAAATAAGCAAATCCCACAAAAACAATATTCAAGAATAATAAAATAAAAATTGTATATATATATATATATATATATATATATATATATATATATACAAGAATAATAATAAATAAATGTATTTTCAATTTTGCAAAACTGTGTATCAATAATAATACCAATCTTTACATTGTACAACTCTGTTTTCTTTGCTTTACATTTATACCATCACTATCTAATAGAAACCAACTTTACCATTCCTTTATTGTAATCTCCATGTTTGAACAATGGCTTTTGTATTATTCATGTGATTGATGACACCTCAAATAATTATAATTTATAGTAATCTTGCATTTGGTAACCAATAAAAGCCTATATGTTTTTAAAAATTTAAAGTAATGCATTTGGGATGTAAAATGTTTTCTATATGTTTTAAAAAACGTAACAGCAAAACTCACACATTTGGGACATTTCTATGTAAATCATGTCGCTCCGTCTTTACTCTTTATTATCACGCTTCGCTATTTCAATGCCGTAGTATCCTACGATCTACATATACCTAAAATAACACAAGATATCCAAAAAAAAATACCCATACCAATATATCCTAGTTTTAACAAGAAAACTATCTTGAAACCAAAAATTCAAGAAATTTTTTTTGCAGTCAGATCTATATTACATGGTTCCTTGTAAAAAATGTCATGTACATAGTAGTGTGAGTGACGAGAAGATTCAAGATACAAAGACCTATTTACATCAAATGATTCCACATATACTCAGTTTCTCAAGTAAAGAGTCAAAAAGGGTCTAAGCAAAAACTTTAGGGCTTGACCAATTGTGTACGCTATGTGTTATGTTTCATCGAGCTTTGCCTCCACCCACAATTCTAATCATCCCCTGCAATAAGGACCCCCACAGGTTCATAACCATGCTCAAACGAAACATCTTATAAACTTGTGCAAATTCATGTCTTTTCTTTTTTGAACCTTTCTTTTGGCAGCAAGACTCTGGCTTTCCTTTTCTTTCTTTTCATGGCACCACTCTGGGAATTCCTTCTTATAAGTTTCCATCTCTCTAAACAAAGAGCTGCAATGGAGAAGCAGCGTAAAATGTGATTCAATTGTGATCTGAAATCCTGAGGCAAGCTTCAAAATTGCTTACTTTCTACAGAAAAGAATCATATTGGCCCGATAACAAGATGGTGCGGTGGCTCTGGCACCATGGCGGTGGCGGCCACGGTGAAGTATAGCTTGACCTTGTGTATGAAAGTACCTAAAAACTTCCTGCTTCAGTGAGAAATAGTTGTTGCCTTCATTACTTAACCATTTTGCAATCTACGAAATATTGGCATGTAATAGTACAAAAAAGCTCATCAAAAGGACTCACATACCTCTGGCTTTATATTTGTTTCCTTATGTTTCTGGCATCGTGTGCCTACGAAAGATATTTCCCCTCCCTCAAATTGTTTCCTCACACAAACATTAAATGTTATTTCTGAATCATCCACATGATAGCCTGCAGATATAATAGACAATTAATGCACCCGTTGAACACAGAATAGTAAAAATAAGCATCCATTGCACAAACAAATAGTCACTAGTGTTCTGTCCCGGACGATTTTCCCAGACAATAGTCATATAAGCATTTTAATCCATCATGTAACTATTCTGTTTCCTCTCTTCCTAAAAATGGACACATTCATATTTTTTCCAACTAAGAGTAACATAGAACACACTGCAAAAGAGACCATTCAATCACCAGAACTTTGATTAAAAGGTTTACAGAGAAAATCCTTATACTAAACCAGATTTATGTTTGCTATTAAAGAATTTAATTTGATTTTCTCTAAGCAGCTTAAGTATCACAGAATATTCTTCCACTCCAGGAAAGATTGTACGGTCCTATGAGAGCTTTCGCAGAATCGTTGCTGTAAAGTAATAGCATAAAATCAAAGGGACTCACCTAATGGAGCATCTCTATCTTCATCATTTTCAATAAAAAATCCATGGTAAGAGTCAAACATTGCTCCACACTCTTCAGGGAAGAATACTGCAAGACAACAGAGTGAAGTTTAGTGGTTATTAAAAAGGCTTAACCAATAAAAGTCTTTCTAATGCGTTTAAGTAATATATTTCCTTGCCTTTGCAAATAGGAAAGATAAAATCCTCCATGAGTTTCTTAGACATGATATCCAGGCCAAAGTAGTCGTCAAGTACAACACCGTGTTTACTCGTTTTGTTTGGTCTCCTGATCGGGAAATTTGTCTCATGAGCCCACTTTCTGACATTTTCTACCTGATGAATCAAACAGCAGCAAATGAATTATAAAACAAAGAGGTAAGATGATAAGTGGCAAGATGATAGGTTATTTACCTCTAGTATCAAATTCTCAAAGAAGTCAGGCTGAAACATTTGAAAGACAAGAACACCAGGAAACGGTTCAGAAATGATGCGTCTGAAGCTTTCCTCAGTGTTTTCGCTGACCGCGTTCCGGAAAGCGGGAAGCAGAAACAATTCGGGATCAAAATTACACCATCCCCTGTAGAGTGGCTGCAGAAAAGGAAACATTTCAAACTTTGCCATGAAGAATTTAAGAAAACAAAACAAAAGACGAGCAAAGGCATCTCACCTGATATTTTGCAATTATCCTCTGCCTATAGTTGTTGCGCCATTTAGCCTGGAACATTATATACACATGAAAATATTCTGAGAAAAAGCTAAAGATCATTCTCTGATTTGTATCAGAGTTTGGTGAACTTTTGCAATTTTAAAGAAACTAACAAGAATCACTATCGTAAGAACTTCAAAAGCAATTCCAATTTGAGAAGAGCATCCACAAGCTTAGCAAACCAACACCGAGGAGCTTGTTTTAAACCGTATAACGACTTGCGTAGACGACACACACGCGTATCACCAGGAGAAGAAAAACCTTGTGGAATTTTCATATAGACTTCTTCATGGAGATCACCATGGAGAAAAGCGTTGTGAACGTCCATTTGATGGACCTCATGATTTTTCTTGGAGGCATAATCGAGAAACATACGTACCGTCGTCATCTTGGCCACCGGACAAAATGTTTCCGTATAATCAATACCCTCTTTCTGATGATTACCGAGAACAACAAGTCTAGCTTTATGTCTTTCAAGAGTACCATCCGAACGAAGCTTGATTGTAAAAACCCACTTGCTGCCAAGAGCTTTCTTACCGGGTGGTAATTCTTCAAGATCCCACGTATGATTACGTTGCAAGGCATCAATCTCAGATCCCATAGCATTTTTCCAAACTTCGTATTTCATGGCCTCATTAAAAGAACGTGGTTCGGTGGTAGTAGAGAGAACCGCCAAGTAACTGCGATGCTTAGTAGAAAACTTATCATATGAGAGATAATCAGAAAGAGGATATAACGAACCTGAGGAAGGCTGAAGAGTGGATGACGAGGGAGGGAGAGAGGGTGAAGAAACTGAAGCTGAACCAACAACATAACCATCAAGGCGAACATTTGGTGTTTTCTTTCTCTTTCCCTGGCCAAGCTCTTCAACTATTGGCATTGTAGCCGTACTCGGAACATTAGGGACAACCGGATTCGTACCAGCTTCAGGAGCCGGTGGAGTAGTTGGCAAAACCGTGGAACATTCTTCACGACCTGTGCCATGGGACAAATCCGGAGCATCGACATCATCATGGGAAACAACTCCAACGATCGGAGGAGAAAGGTCATTGACAGCCGAGGGAGGAGATGTATTTGTAGTAGACAGCGGAAAAATATTTTCTTGAAATGTGACATCACGAGAAACAAAAAATATCTCTCGTTCCAAGTCATAGAGCTTCCATCCTTTCTTACCGTAAGGGTACCCTAAGAAAATACAACGTCGGCTTCTTGAAGCAAATTTATCTCCTCGGTGATCAATATTATGAGCATACGCAAGACAACCAAAAACCCGTAAATGTGTATAAGACGGAGCATGCCCATATAATTTTTCAAACGGTGTTAAACCATGAAGCAATGAAGACGGTGTACGGTTGATAAGGTACCCAGCAGTGAGTATGCATTCTCCCCAATGATCAAGCGGTAAGCTAGCTTGAAATCGCAAAGCTCTAGCAACATTCAAAATGTGACGATGTTTTCTTTCAACACGGCCATTCTGCTGCGGAGTATACACACAAGAAGTTTCATGAATAATACCTTCTTCCCGAAAGAACTTCGTGAGACACATGAACTCACTTCCATTATCACTTCGTATGGATCGTATTTTCTTGGAAAATTGGCGCTCGATTAATGCCAAAAATTCACGGATGTATCGAGAGACTTGCGTCTTGTCAAGAAGAAGATAGAGCCAGACCGCACGAGAGTGATCATCAACTATGGTCAAAAAATAACGTGAGCCACAAAATGCCGTAGTACGATACGGTCCCCATAAATCAACATGAATTAAATCAAAAATTGCTTTTGCATTATTAGAACTGTCGGAAAAAGACTGTCTAGTTTGCTTTGCTCGTAAACACACATCACAATTCTTAAAAAACTCACTACTAGTATTAGAAAGCCCACGAACATCAGGGATCATTCCAGTAACACGAGAAGACGGATGCCCAAGACGATTATGCCACAAAACCACATCATCTTTAACACTTGTTTGTAATGCCGCCACTGTCTCAATCCCGCGAAACCGGTACAACCCCTCTCCCTCTCGTTCACCCGACCCAATCAGCGTCCTCGTGATGCGGTCCTGTAAAATCATAAGTCGGTCAGTTACTTGTCCTACAAGATTTTTATCGGTGACTAGCTGGCCAAAAGAGATCAAATTTATATGAAAACCCGGGACCAAGTAAACATTATTAATCGACAATTTAGAGGTTAATTTCACGGTCCCCTGTTTCGTTGCAATGGCGTCTTTGCCGGCTGGAAGAGAAACCGAGACCGGAGCTATGTCACGAAGGTTCGTCAAGAGATCAAAGCGACCTGTCATGTGATGTGTTGCTCCGGTATCTAAAAACCAAACAACTTCGTTACTCTTACCACTTAGTTGAGAGGATCCTTTGCCAGCATTGATAACTTTTTCCACTATCTTCCATTGTTCATCAGTCATTCCCAACAATCCTTGTCGATCAGCCTCAGTAATCTCAGAAGATCCAATAGCAGCGGAGTTAGCATTCACAATTTGCGTGAGATTTGCTCGAGGAGCACCACCACGTCCTCGGCCAGCAGAAATACTCGGAGAGCTCCGGGTATCATTCCGGTTGCGTGGTCGATCACCCCACCATTCTGGGTAACCCACAACCTTAAAGCATGAAGAAGCTTCATGGCCCATACGGCCACAAGCAGAACACTGTCGGGATGGATCTTTGTTACCAGGTCCAAAGCGAGATGGGCCAGAAAAACTGTTGTTGCGTTTCGTGACATCTCGTGTGAAGACCGGATTCGAATTGTGAGAGGAGCTCAAACCAGAAACCTGAGAAGCAAAACCCATCACAGCCACATCATTCGTCACATTGGATCGTAACGTTTCATTTTGAGTAATGGTTTGATAAACCGTATCCAAATCAGGGAGTGGACTTATAGCACAAATCTGGGAACGTATAACTCCATGAGTAGAGTCGTCTAGGCCCGAGAGAAAATCATGAATTCGGAGAGTTTCAATTTCCTTATCACGAGCAGAATTGAGGTCGCATTCACACTTTCCACAGCTACACTTCTTCGAATTCATACACTCAGCGATTCCATCCCACAACTTCGTGAGACGGCCAAAGTAATCATCAACGCTTGACCCGTTTTGCTTGCAGTTAGCCAGAGAGTTGCGGAGCTGTTGTAGTCGAGCCCCGCTTTTGATGGAGAACCTCTTTTTGATGATGTCCCAAAGATCTTTGGCTACTTCTCTTGTTGAAATCGTCGATCTAATTTTTGGTTCAATCGTCTGTTTGATCCATCCAACAAGCAAGTGGTTGTTTGCAGTCCAATCCTCAAGCTCAGGAGAGCCCGCAGCCGGTTGTGATATGCTCCCATCGAGGAAGCCAAACTTCTTCCTAGAGCTCAAGGCCATCCGTAGGTTAAGAGCCCATTCATCGTAGTTGAAACCAGTGAGCAGAGGCTGAGAGATCACTGCCCCTGGGTTATCATTAGAGGTAAGGTCGTATGGAGTGATAGTCTTGTGTTTCGGATTTGTTGTTGTCAAAGCCATCGTAAGTGCTCTGTTTTAAGAAGAGATTGCCGAGAAAACAGAGCAAAAGAAGAAAGAACAGAGAGGCTTGTAACAGAGATGCCGAGAGGCGTGAAAAAGAAAGAGAAGCCGAGAGGCTTGTAACAGAGATGCCGAGAGGCGTGGAAAAGAAAGAGAAGCCGAGAGGCTTGTAACAGAGATGCCGAGAGGCGTGGAAAAGAAAGAGATTGTCGAGATTTCAAAAGAGATTGTCGGGCTCTGATACCATGTCAAACTCAAGAATATATGAATGAATGACTTGTATTCCTTAGACTCAAAGGTCTTGTCTTTATACAAAGAGAAGAGAACTCTCATTCAAAACCCTAGCTAGCTAAATCAAAAGGTAAATATACATAATAGAGATTTGGTAATATCTACAAGATTAGGAAAATATCCTCTAGTATCCTCAATAGTTCACAAGATCATTCTCTGATTCGCATCAATTTGATGACAGAAAGAAACTAACAAGAATCAAGTCCGAATTCGATTTAACAAAATTGGGATCAAAACGAAAGAAATCAGAGCCATTACTTTGGAACATTCTTCACGGGAAATGTACTTGCGCAAAATGTCAGACATGAATTTGGCCTTCGCTTCTCTGTTCGCCGTGAGCATTTCCGGCGGCAAGTACTTCTCTAGAGAGCTTAACACGGACGAGCTAAATTCCAGTTTCAGATCTCCGTAGTTATCACAAATGTGATCCATGTTAGGAAACCGACTCAGCCTCGCGGTAGCCATCTCTGTCGTCGCCGCCGCAGTAGTCACCGGTGGTTGAGAATCTTCACCTCCAACAGTTTCGTCACCGTCCACCGCCATCTCTTGCCGATCAAAATCGAAGTTTCTTTAACTTCTCTCGATTTGGGGATTGTGGATTTTGGGGTTTCCGTTGAAGTCTTTTCACAAATTTCCCTCCGAGAATTTATTGCCTTTTTGTGTTACCGGCGCTTTTGGAACACGCGATATATGGATTCTCGGCCCATTATAAGGGGCCCAAAAATGCTTCGAACCGGTTACTTAGAACTATCGGTACTTTCCGGTTGACTTTTCATATTTCCCGGTTACTTAGCGACCAAGATCATGAAACTAAAGAGCTTTAATGAATTTTCAGTAAAGTGAATATAAAATTATAAAAATTTGGTTGCTAAGAAAATGCAAAAAATTGACTTTATTGAAATATTCGTGAATTTTTGTTTATGGTGTGTTTTTTTCACTTTATCGTACAGTAAAACCTCTATAAATTAATAATGTTGGGACCATGATATTTTATTAATTTATAGTGATACTAATTTATCTATAAATTTATATTTATTAATTTACACTTTAAATTAATATTTATTAATTTATAGAGATATTTTGTTTAATTGTTCAAATTTTTTTAAAAATATGAGTTGAGACAAGTCAATATACATAAAATTAATTATTTAGAAGTTATAATTTTTGTAATATTAGAATTGAAAATTTAATATTTCAAAAAAATTCATTTGAAATTTAAATCACAAAGACTTTAATTAAATTCATTTATACAAATGATATACACAAATTAAATTTAAGTTTATGATTACTAACTTCAATTATCATAAATTAACAATGTTGTAGACTATTAAAACGAAAATGAAGCATACTAAGAAGTTGAAAACTAGAAAAAATTATGGCTAATTGTATTACGAAGTTATAAACGATACTATAATATGATAGTTTAAAACACAACATAATTTAATAAAAGTTAGAGACAAAAAAACTTGTTTGATACAATTAAAGTTCGAGACAAACTCTAACGAAAATTTAATACTTAAAAAAAAAACATTAAAATCATATATTATATGTTATCTTATTTATAAATATATATATATATATATATATATATTCTGTGATTATTAATTTATGATGTTATTGGGACCATATTTTTATATAAGATTTTTAAAAAATTATTATCTTATTATCTTATCGAATTTTGTTAATTTTTACATTGACCCGACTCGGGACCGGCATAATTTATTATTTTATCGTGTTTATTAATTTATCGAGTGTTAATTTATAGAGGTTCTACTGTAATTAACTCTGAAAAATGAGAAGTCCCGAAAGAGATAATAGATTTTGTTGATTTTCGCTCTTTCTTCTCAAATGTAATTTATTTAATCTCAAATGTTCTGGTGACCCGCTTTCTTGGAGGGGAGTTAAATATTCTCATGTGGTCCAATGCAGATTGGATCGTGCCTTGGCAAATTCTAGCTGGTCTGAGATTTTTCCTTCAAGAAGAACAAAATACTTAAGATTTGAGGGTTCTGACCATAGACCGGTCATTACTTCCTTTGGTAAAGATAGGAAAAAGCGGAAAGGTTGGCAAATACTTAGTCCTACCAGAAATGTTCGGGAAAAAAAGGCAAAGATCTGTTTTCATCCATAGTGGATAGAATAAGACAAAGAGCTGTAAGCTGGTCTAACAAATTCCTTTCAATTTACTGGATTCCTTCTTCATAGCTCCACTCCCCTATTGGTCCTGCCCCAATATTATCTTCAAACTGGAAGATTAAAAATCTTTTTCTGGCTAATTTTGGCTTATAAAAAGGCTTATAATATTATTTTTATATAAAAAAACTTAAAGAAAAATTTGCTTAAAAAATGTCCTCAAAATTTTAATGCTTCAATTTATTGCTTCACTTGTTTGGCTTGTGCGCCAAGCCTGGTCATTGTTAAAACTATGTATATGCTTTGTTCAGATCCACATAAGAACACAAACAAGACACAAACACATTTCACTTTACTGCATCAACACCAACAAAAATACTTCACTTCCATGTAATATATAAAATAACAAAAATTTACAAAATATTCATATGTTTGGACAAGACTTACAATTATATCAGAGATTAGGCGCTTATTTAGAAAACCAAAAGATTAGTAAAGAAAAGAACTCAAAAAAAAAAAATTAAGAATATTTCAATCATGTCAATTTTGTTGCATTTTCTTAACAAAAAAAAAATACAGACAGCTCACAAAAAAATATATCATATAGGCCATGTTCGTTTGCCTGTCGCTGGCGACCGAAACCAGCGACAGCGACCAAAAGTTGTTCGTCTGCCTGTCGCTGGTTCAGCGACCAATCGCAGCGACAGCCGCCAGCGACCAGCGACCGCAATTTTCAGTCGCTAAAATTTTTAGCGACCAGTCGCTGGTTTCAGCTATCAGTCGCTGCTTTTGGTCGCTGAATCCAGCGACAGGCAAACGAACAACTTAGCGATCAAAAAATATAAATTTAAAAAATAATCAAAAATAAATTAAATTAAATTAAACTAAACTAAATTATATATAATCAAAACTAAACTTAGTTAAATATAATTAAATTAAACTGAATTAGATTCAAATAAATCAAATTAAATATAATCTAAATTAAAATAAATTTTATTAAATTAAAATAAAATAGAAATAAATTAAAATAAATCTTATTAAAATTAAATTCAAATAATTCAAGTAATTATAGTCAAATTAAATTTGATAAAATTAAAGTAAAGAAATGTATTGATTTATTTTTTCTAATGGTGTATGATATATGTAATTTACATTTTTATTTTAAAATATAAATTGTCATAAATAATAATTTCAGAATTTCAAAAATACAGCGATTGTTTTGAGCGACAGTCAAACGAACAACACAACGACAGCCGTTAGCAACAGTCGCTGGTTTCGGTCGCTGAATCCAGCTACAGACAAACGAACAATATATGCTGTCGCTGGTCGCTGGTCGCTGTCGCTGATCGCTGTCGCTGATCGCAAACGAACAGGGCCATACTCCATATCACTCAACTAGAGGGTTTTGACGTTTGGGACGTTTCTATGTTAATCATTACGCGTCGCTCCGTCTTTACTCTTTATTATTACGCGTCGCCATTTCAATGCCCTAGTATCCAACAATCTACATATTTCATACATATGTATAAACCTATAGCATATAACCAAAAAAATACGGGAAAAATGTCGTTTTATCTCCCAACTTTCAAAAAGTGGTCAATCAATACGTTAACTTCATATGTGGCCATTTAAAACATGAAATAAAAGTTGACTAACGTTTGAGACATGGAAATTCGTTGACCAGGCCAAAATAGACATGCCGTTATCAATCGTTAACGGAACCTCTAACGCCCGTTATCACTCCTAACAACTCTGTTAGTCAACTTTCAAATTGTGGCCATTTTAAACATCAATTTCATATGTGGCCATTTAAAACATGAACTAATCGTTGACTAACATTTGAAACATTAGAATTCGTTGACCAGGCCAAAATAGACATGTCGCCACCATTCGTTAAAAGAACCTATAACATCCGTTATCACCCGTTAACGACTTTGTTAGTATGTCCAAAACGACTTCGTTTTGAGGAAAATCGAGAGAAAATCAAGATTTTTCCCAAATGAAAACACCAAATCCCCAAATCTATTTCTACAACAGCTCAAACAAGATGAATAGTCCTATTATCTCCATCTCCATTTCAGAAAAGCTACATTTAGTCCTATGATGGGTCTACAAGTTTGCTTCCATGATTCCTTTTTAGATTTAAAACAAATATATAAACGATGTTTGCTTCCAATTACTGGCTCTATGATTATCTATATATCAAACCATGTCCTTGGATTATGCTTTAAACAAAAAATTTGTCCTGATTTCCTCTCGATTATTTTCAAAACGACGTCGTTTTTGGCAGACTAACAGAGTCGATAACGGGTAATAACAAGTATTATAGGTTTTGTTAATGACTGATTAAGACATGTCTATTTTGGCCTAGTGAACAAATTCTCATGTCTCAAATTGTTAGTCAACGTTTAGTTCATGTTTTGAATGGCCACATATGAAGTTGATGTTTAAAATGGCCACAATTTGAAAGTTGATTAACAGAGTCGTTACGGGTGATAACGGGCGTTAGAGGTTCCGTTAACGACTGATAACGGCATGTCTATTTTAGCCTGGTCAACGAATTTTCATGTCTCAAACGTTAGTCAACGTTTATTTCATGTTTTAAATGGCCACATATGAAGTTGACGTATTAATTGGCCACTTTTTGAAAGTTGGGAGATAAAACGACATTTTTCCCAACCCATACCAATATTTCCTAGTTTTAACAAGAAAACTATCTTGAAACCAACAAATCAAGAAAAAAAAAATAGCAATCTGATCTACATTATATGGTTCCTTGTACAATTAAATCTCGTGTACATAGTAGTGTGAGAGACAAGAAGATTCAATATACAAAGACGTATTTACATCAAATGATTCTACATATACTCAGTTTCTCAAGTAAAGAGTTGAAAAAAGGGAAAAGCAAAAACTTCAGGGCTTGACCAATTGTGTACGCTATGTGTTATGTTTCATCGAGCTTTGCCTCCACCCACAATTCTAATCATCCCCTGCAATAAGGACCCCCACAGGTTCATAACCATGCTAAAACCAAACATCTTATAAACTTGTGCAAAATCATGTCCTTTTTATTTTAACCTTTCTTTTGGCAGCAAGACTCTGGCTTTCCTTTTCTTTCTTTTCATGGGCGCATTGACCGCACCACTCTGGGAATTCCTTCTCATAAGTTTCCATCTCTCTAAACAAAGAGCTGCAATAGAAACACAGAGTAAAATGTGATTGATTTGTCATCTGAAATCCTGAGGCAAGCTTCAAAATTGCTTACTTTCTGCAACAAAGAATCATATTGGCCCGAGAACAAGAATTTGTGGTGGTTCTGGGACCATGGCGGTGGCGGCCACGGTGAAGTATAGCTTGACCCGGTGTATGACTGTAATGAAAAACTTCCTGCTTCAGAGAGAAATAGTTAATTCCTTCATAACTTAACCATTTTGCCATATACGAAATATTGGAATGTAATAGGACAAAAAAGCTCATCGAAAGGACTCACATACCTCTGGCTTTATATTTGTTCGCATATGTTTCACGCACCGTGTGCCAATGAAAGATATTTCCCCTCCCTCAAATTGTTTCCTCACACAAACATTCAATGTTATTTCTGAATCATCAAAATGATGGTCTGCAGATTTAAAAGATAATTAATGCACTAGTCAACTGAGTGGAACACAGAATAATAAAAAGAAACATCCATTGCCTAAACAAATAGTCAGTAGTGGTCTGCCCCGGACGATTTTCCCAGACATTAGTCATATAAGCATTTTAATATATCATCCATCATGTAACTATTCTGTTTCCTCTCTTCCTAAAAATGGAGACATTCATACTTTTTCCAACTAACAGTAAACATAGACACACTGCAAATGTACCTCAGCTAATCCACTGAACAAACATAGACACACTTCAAAAAAAGACCATTCAATCACCAGGACTTTGGTGAAAAGATTTATGTTCGCTATTAAAGAATTCACTCTGTTTTTCTCTAAGCAGCTTAAGTATCACAGAATATTCTTGCACTCCATGAAAGATTGTACGGTCCTATGAGAACTTTTGCAGAATCGTTGCTGTAAAGTAACAGCAGAAAATCAAAGGGACTCACCTAATGGAGCATCCCTATCTTCACCATTTTCAACAATAAATCCATGGTGAGAGTCAAACATTGTTCCACACAGTTCAGGGAAAAATACTGCAAGACAGCAGAGTGAAGTTTAGTGTTATTAAATAGGCTTAACGAAGTCTTTCTAATGCGTTTAAGTAAAATACTTCCTTGCCTTTGCAAATAGGAAAGATAAAATCCTCCATGAGTGTCTTAAGCATGATATCCAGGCCAAAGTCATCAAGCACAACACCGTATCTACTCGTGTGGTACGGTCTCCTAATTTGGAACTTTTTCTCATGAGCCCACTTTTTGATATTTTCTACCTGATAAATCAAACAGCAGCAAATGAATAAAACAAAGAGGTAATAGGATAAGTGGCAAGATGATGGGTTATTTACCTCTACTATCAATTTCTGAAAGAAATCAGGCTGAAACATTTGAAAGACAAAAACACCAGGAAACGGTTCAGAAATGATGCGTCTGAAGCTTTCCTCTGTGTTGTCGCTGATCGCCTTTCGGAAAGAGGGAAGCAGAAACAATTCGGGATCAAAATTATACAACTCCCTGCAAAGTGGCTGCAGAAAAGGAAACATTACAAAAATTGGCATGAAGGAATTTAAGAAAACAAAACAAAAGACGAGCAAAGGCATCTCACCTGATAATTGGATTTTATCCTCTGCGAATAGGTCTTGCGCCAATTAGCCTGTAACATTATATCGACATGGAACTATTCTGAGAACGTAACCAGATTCTATGTGTTCACAAGAAAAAGCTAAAGATCACTCTGATTCGTATCAGAGTTTGGTAAATTTCCGCAATTTTAAAGAATCTAACAAGAAACACTATCGCAAGAACTTCAGAAGCAATTCCAATTTCACAGATTCTATGTGTTTACAAGACAAAGCTAAAGATCATTCTCAGATTCGTATCAATTTGATGACAGAAAGAAACTAACAAGAATCAAATCCGAATTCGATTTAACAAAATTGGGATCAAAACGAAAGAAATCAGAGCCATTACTTTGGAACATTCTTCGCGGGAAATGTACTTGCGCAAAATGTCTGACATGAATTTGGCCTTCTCTTCTCTGTTCGCCGTGAGCATTGCCGGCGGCAAGTACTTCTCTAGCGAGCTTAACATGGAAGAGCTAAATTCCAGTTTCAGATCTTCGTAGTTATCAGAAATATGCTCCATGTTAGGAAACCGACTCAGCCTCGCGATAGCCATCTCTGTCGTCGCCGCCGCAGTAGTCACCGGTGGTTGAGAATCTCCACCACCAACAGTTCCGTCACCGTCCACCGCCATCTCTTGCCGATCACTTCAAGAAAAGAGAAATTGAAGTTTCTTTAACCTCTCTCGATTTGGGGATTTTGGGGTTTCCGTTGAAGTTTAGGGCTTTTCACAAATTTCCCTCCGAGAATTTATTGGCTTTTTGTGTCATCGGCGCGTTTCGAACACGCGTCACGCGATATGGGGCTATGGATTCTCGGCCCATTATTACGGCCCAAAAATGATTTGAACCGGTTACACAATAATCGGTACTTTCCGGTTGAGATTCCTTTTCATATTTCCCGGTTATTAGCGACCAAGATCATGAAACTTGAGAACTAAATTGATGGAGAATTATTTTTGTGGCTAGTTTGCGCTAAACAAATTCAGTAAAGTGAATATGAAAATTATAATAATTCGTTTGCTAAGAAAATGCAACAAAATTGACTTAATTGAAATATTCGTCATTTTATTGGTGTGTTTTTTTATCCACTTTATCATAAAGAGATCCATGAATGAAAATCTATAATTTATCAACAATCCATTGAGTTGTGTCAAGAAAAAGAAAAAAAAAAACTCTCTACTTGATTGATTGAAATGGAGAATAGTATAAGTCTATGACTATATGTATATTATATATGATATTTCTTAAAGAGTAGTACTTAATTATGTGTTGTAGTATATACGAAACCACTAAATTAGTATATGTTTCAAATGTCTAGGGATGCGTATAATTGTGTCATATGCATGCTAATGTCCATATATAACATGAACCTATGCAAACCCAAGAAACAGAAACTTGATTGTTGGGTAAAATAAGTCACTTTTCTCACACACAACAAAAGAAAATATAAAATATTTATAATTTAACTAGCATGAAAGTATGAGAATGCAATATAACCATACATATATATAGACATATCATGGTGTATAAGTAAGATACATACATATATGTGAATATGTAATGTGTAGAGAGAAATAGAGAAAAAAAGGTGATGACAGAAGCATAGAGAGCACATAGGAATAGAGATGCAGATGCTCCTCTAGCTCTTCTCTCTTTTTTTTTTTTCACGATTCACATCAACATTGATGTTAAGTATGAAATACAATTAGAAGCACATATATGTGTGTGTTTTGCATATCATCCTTAGTGCTCTCTATCTTCTGTCAGCAACCACACTATCACCCTCCACTATACATACAACATTCTTGTGGTTTGATATATATATATAATATGTGAGGATAGAGACTATATATAGAGAGAGCATAGTGAAGAGTAAAAGGTGTAATGGAGAGTGGTGTGTATATATAGGAAAGACGATTCTACTTCAAAGGAATGAAATCGATAACCAGTAAAGGAATGACATACCAAGTCATTGACTGTTTCTTCATGTACCTTCCTCCAAACACAAACACACAACACACATCGAGAGGTACCAATGTACATGTATGTACCATATTAATAATGTCACTTACCCAACAAACCCTAACAAAAGTTTATATGAACCGTATATAATACTGAAAAGTTTTTACGATGAATATTTACAATCTTGTTCAATATTTCTTATCGCATTAAGTCATTAATTAGGAGGTAAGAAGTTTTTCTTCGCATTGTTTGATATAATCAGTCTTTAATTACGTACCATGTAATATTTGTGAATACATTAAACAAAACTTTTTGAGTTTACTTAGATTTGGAAATCTTTTTTTTTTTTAGATTTGGAAATCTCATATATACCGAAACCTATATACTAATCTATAAATAAATTGTTAACACTTGTTGAAACAGACATACGTCCAAGAAGTGAGTGAAAAGGACCCGGATGCAGAGGCTTTGTCAAGATATCAGCAAGTTGATTTGCTGTTGCAACATGAAGAACTTTGTGAAAACCATCTTTAATCCGATCCCTTGTTCTGTGACAATCTATCTCCACATGCTTGGTTCTTTCATGGAAGACCTGATTATTGGCAATATGCATTGCTGACTTATTGTCACAAAACAGTTTAGCTTGAGTTGTCACAGAGATTCGAAGATCCTTCAGAAGTTGATTTAACCATACCATCTCATCAGAAGCCATTGCCATTGCTCTATATTCTGCTTCCGTGCTACTGCTACTAGCAACATGTTGTTTCTTTGACTTCCATGAGATAAGTGAATTGCCAAGAAAAACACAAATACCAGTAACAGATCGTCGTGTATCTTTGCAAGTACCCCAATCAGCATCTGAAAACCCAATCAAGCAAATATCTGTAGGGAGCCTAACTCAACACCCAAAAGCTAGCTCAAGGGAGGAGGTTTGCCTCATACTATATATATTGCCCAAGAATTTTATTATTTCCGATGTGGGACTCTAACACACCCCTCTCACGCTTAGGACGGGACATTTGAAGCATGAAGTTTGTGGGACTGGACATCCACGGATGGTAGCCCACTTTCGAGAAAGTTGAACCTTGGCTCTGATACCATGTTAACACTTGTTGAATAACAGTGTGATTTCTCATTAATTAGTAAAGTGACTGTACAACAAGTATTTATACTTACATGAGATTAGTAACTAACATAAGCTAAGGGAAACTTATATTAATCCTATATCTCTATAATACTAATATAAATTTATATCAGACTTAATTTTATTAATCCAAAAGTAATTGTTAATATGTATACGTTTAACAAGAAGTGATCTCTAGCCTCAGTTAAAAAAACAGATACCACAAAACTAACTCATATATAGTGTTTGTGTGTATATATATATGTGTGGTTTTGATGAATCACTGACCTAAGAATAAGATATAGTTCGTGGGTACATAAAATAGTAGGACTAGTAGTAGTTAACTGCACTCTAAGAGCATGACGACAACATTTAAGTGGTGGCTTCCTACCATGAAATAATGAAAATACATATAAACAAAGCTTATTCTACATATATATCTATAATTTAATTGAATTTTATGGGTTTTGATTGCAGGAAAAAAAAATGAATTGAATATGAATCTCAAAAACGAAACCCTACATATAACACGTGATTGATAAGTACGTACATGTAGAAATGGCTTCGTACGTATACAAGGGCAATCAATACCATAGATGCGGAACAAGTCAAAAGCGACTTCTTCAGCTTAATTTTGGGATATCAATCTCATGTATCATGTGATGAACGCATCATTATATCTGATTTTTGAAATGAAATCAGAGTACACAATTTGATGCACATGGGAAAGACAAAAAGAGAGAGAGAACTTTATGCATATGTTGTGTGATATTCCTTACATATTTTCATGATTTATACTATTTATATTTGTCTTTGAGACACGTTTCGAGTATGTATTGAGTAAATTGATTGAATTGTGTGGTACGGTTGTACAAATGTGTGGCAGGCTTCGAATAATTCAAAATTATTATCTCTCTATTCATTTATCATTTGAAAAGGAATATGCTATATGCTATATATTTCTAGAATACTCTTTTTTTGTTTGGACAAACTCGAGAATACACTTTAATCACTGTCATTTGCCTTGATTCTAGTACAATAATCTCTGACCCTTATCTATATATATATAGTTTAGTTAATGAACTCATTTGTCTTCACAATGTTAGAAAACTTGGTTTTTTTCCTTAGTTGTAGAATTGTCTTCACTCTTTGGTTTAATTCTTGGGCTTTTATTTGGGATTACAACTAAACTAGACTCCTTGATTGGGCTAATGAAGGAATGTATCCTACAAAACTCTCTCTTTCCGACTAGCCAGCTGGAATTGTTAAGATTCCAGTTAATTGACAATAATTTTGATGGGTATAACACCTTGGTCATAATGTTTGACCAGTTCTTGCCGTGTGCGTCATGAACCATTCTTAATCAATCCTCCGTAAAACACATGCAAAAAGACTCAAATCTAATTAGCTAGCTAAAATTTTCAAATCATGCAATATCAAGATGCAATCAAAAAGCTTTATATATAACTAGAAGAATTCGTCTAAAGATTGGATTGTCATGAAATCATAATCGTAAAATAAACTGCGTCTTGGTCGCGAAGTTGTAGACGACAAAGAAATAGTTGGTGTCATTTTTAGATGATCAGGGGAAGGGTTGGTCAGGACAACCGTTTAAAATTTTAATAACAAAATGTGAGTATACCTTGTTAAACTGGTACTTTTAATAGCTTTATTTCCGTTAATTGCAACACCATTTCCGTTAAATACTTATTTATGATTTATAAGTTATAACTACATCGATTTTTAGCATACCACACATTTTATAAACTTTTATCTCATGTCTATCTCCAACATTGATAACATGATCAGAAATGGCGACATATAGGAATTGTGAGGTGGTTCTAAACATTTGTGCATATAAACTACAAGCCAAAATTTAGGTCCCAAAATTATATCAAATATTATAAAGTACAACCTTATTTTTGGTTTGTACCCTCGACCTCTGTCCACGAATGGATTGATCAGTGTTGCGTCTTTGTTCATTGGGCTTGTCTTTTTGGCGATCCAATGGTTCGGTAATGAGTCTAGGACCCATGATGCTGATGACTCTTGCGTTGTCGATGCCTCTTGGGTTCTTGAGAGGATTAGTTAATAAAGATTATGGTATTAATATTATCATATATCTTAGCTTTGACAAAATATGACACTCGGGTCATTGTAGCATTCACATATAGCAGATTAAAATTCCAAAATAGTATAGTTTTTTGCCTAAATAAATTATTCGAATTGACTTCTATTATTCTAATAACAAAAAAATTATAATTTTTTGTCCCATAGTTCAATTGGCTAAAAAGTGTTGAAAATTCCATTTGAATTACCCCAAATTGTTATAAAATTCTTGTCTCTCGTGGAGGTGTTGCATAAGCATATATATATATATATATATATATATATATATAAATTACGGAAAATAGAGAAATTATTCTAAATCAAAAGACAGGAAAATTCTTAGTACACTTTGTTTTTCACTTTTATCAGTAAAAGTGCTAAGTTTATTTTTTTTTTCTTTTTTTTTTCCTTTGAAAGTGATCTAAGTTTTCTTTGTGGCCACGGTTTTGCAGATTCTAATTTTTGTTTATAATTAATGTATACAATTTTTTTAATTCATGTGGCTTTGAAAGATTCATAAAGGTATATCAATATTGGGATAATAGCGACAGGTCTTAAATGCAGATTTATAAGATACCTATTAATTATGTCAGCTAAGTCGGCAGTATTTCCACGTAAAACCATCTACATTTTTATATAGTTTGAAAAAAGTATTAAAATTGTAGATAAATATAAAAATATAAATTCGTCTTCTTTAAAAATCATTCATCTTTAATCTTTTTTCTTCAAGAACACGATGAGCGATAACAAAACTCTTCTCCTGAGACAAATGGAAGAAGAAGAAGATCGAGCAAGAAAACAAATCTCTGTTTTGTCCTCCAAAAGATCCCAAACTGCAAACGCAAACGCAAACGCAGCTGTAACAGCTCCTTCCGAGGTGGCGTTTAACGTTTGTTGTTTATGTGTTTATTGTCCTCTTTGCGTTCTTTGGTGCTGCATCAAACAGCCTTGTACAATTGGATGGAGAGCCATTCTAAACGCTAAACGCAGATTAAGCGGTTGCAGCGGCTGCGGTAGAAGCTTTAGCAGGAGGGTTTTGGCAGCAGATTATTCGTCGTTTTCGGATATTGATTCCGATGATGTGAATTGCAAAGCTCATAATTGCTCAAAACGAAACCGGTGATTATAAAATTTCTATTGAGTTTTATAAATTTCCCAAACTTTCTCAAGCCGTTTCTAAACGCTGACGCAAAACGCTGGAGTTGACTTCATAATGCTGAGTTAATGAAATATATCGAGATTAAGCTCTATTATTTCGATAATTTAGAGTATAAAGATGTTGTTGTGATTGATTATATAAAGATGTATATATTACTTGGTGAGGAATAAAGTTGTTTTTTTTCTTCAAATTATTGTCATCAGTAAGGAATAAAGGTGTGATGTTGTTGTGCCTTTTTCCTCTTCCTCTTCAGTTATTTGTATAAAATAGGAAAAAAAAACAACAAAACAGAAAAATTACCCAAGGAAATAACAATATTCACTCATAGAAATAGATGCATTATATCCGGAGAAAGCCAAATTCCACTCTCTTGTTTTTGCCACAAATGTTGATGCCCGTCTTCAGAATTTGTTGTGCGGAAAATCCTTGTGGTGAGCTTTGAGAGGTTCAATAGTCTTAAGAACAGATTTGTTTGATTTTTGTAATGTATTATCGAAATATCCCCTCCTCATCATGTAGGTTATAATTCGAGCATTGTGTTTCTTTGTGGTTTAATCTCTTATTTTTTCTTATGTTATGTTACTTTTCCGAATCTTAAATCAATATTACTTCAGTGAAAAAAATAAAATAGATAACAATAATCACATGAAAATGTAATTTTCTTCGATAGTTCTACATAATCACGGAGAAAACAGTAAGATAAAAATAGAGTTGATTAGGTCGATTACCAAATTAAAAAACGTAATTAAATAAAGGACCAGCTGTAAAAAAACTTCGGATTTGGTATCTAACCAAACTATAAAACCTATTTTTTTGAGTTTTGGTCCTTTTGGAGTATATATATTTTATTCTCGAACAAAACCTTAAACACTATTATTGCAAAAGTTGTGGGATTTATACTTGCCATGTTCGTTTGGTGTGGTGTTTATTTTATGCATCTTAGTTGATGATTGGTTCGTCTGTACCTGTAGATTTATTGCTGTAAATTTTTTGCTGTAGGTGTGATGACTGTAGCTGTAGGTTTTATTGCTGTAGAAATTAGGCTGTAGATTTTATTAATATAATATTATTATTTAAATAAATTAGTTGTAGCAATAAGATTTTAGTTTCACGTACTTTTAAACAAAAAATATAATTAATAAATAGTAGTTATGTGTTTTATAATTTCTCAAATATCAATTTAATAAATTATGATATACATATATATGATGTATTTTAAAAAACCAATGTGAGTTATATATATTTTTTTGCCCCCAAAAAGAGTTATATGTCAAAAAATAGATTTTTACCTACTACTTAGATCCATAAAAATAAATTTTCATAATATATATATGGATGAAACAATAATTACTTTTTAAAAGAAAAGGAGAAAATAAAGTGGAAAGAAAAAAAAAAAAAGGTACAGCTCCTCTAAACACCATAAAATTGTGCTGTAGAAAAATTTGTACTTACAGTCAAAAGAATTAAAAAAATATTGTTTGGGCTGTGAGAAAAAATAGGAAAGTTAAAAATGATTGTTTCAATTTTGAGGATATAGGTTTTTTAGTAACTTTAAACATTTCATACAGCCCAACCAATCATGCTCTTAATCAGTGTTTTTGTTACGTTGTGCCGTGTGCGTTTGGTGTGGGATTTGGTTTTGTTTATAACAACGTATTAAAATTTTAAAACGAAAATACTTAAGATAAATTATTTTTTGGAATAATAATTAAGATAATTAGATAATGTTCTAAAAAAGTGTTAACAAATAATGTTGGAAACAAATCAAGGTTGAAGAGGAGAAGATCAAACGAAGAAATAACAAACTTTCTTATTAACTCTCAAATGTTTGTTACAAGGCTAAATTACAACATTTAAACCAAGATCATGTTAATCAATGTTAACCAGTGTTAACCAGATATAACCGGTCCACCATGTATCCTAACATGAACCTTGTCTTCTAAGATTTGATGCCTTGTTTCTCACACATATAGATCCACAATTTGGAAGATTAAAGAATAAGTGAGAGATTTTCCCTAATGCATCCTTCGATATCTCTCTCCCCAAAATATAAAGATTGTTTTTTGTTACGCAATCATAAGAGCTAGTCTAATGGATGAATCCGGAGAAGGGTAATCAGTTGAGAATGAGAGACAACTATCAATATGGAGATTGCTACCCATACCATACTTGAAAATTGACACTCCAAGAAGATGATCCCGAAATTCATTGGTTCTCTTGCAAAGAATGCATATTGGATCCACTTAGAGAACGCATACGAGAAACATGTTTTTAGTTGGATTCATGTTTAAGACAAGTAGCCAACAACAAAAAATGTGATTGGGTATTCAATGTGTATGCCATACCTGCTTGAACCAAGGGAAATAAAGAGAATGATCTCGGATTTGATGGTAAACCTTGGAGAAAATATTAGCGATTTTTCCTAGTAATCGGCAGATCTTGAAAGTCTTGTCATCATGTTGAGAAAGAGAGATAGAAGTGAGGTGAGTATGTCATGAATAGTTGGTTGTTTGATTGTTGATGAGAAATACACCATCGACCTCAAACAATAGCTTGAGCAACAATGTAATTGATAGACAGTCCCAACTCTTGTGTTCCAAAGGGGTCAAGGAAGTGCATTAGGGGCCCATAAGGCGTCCAAGTATCCCACTAGAAAGATGTTGAAGCTCTATTACTAATCTACGTTGTGAAACAATCTCAAGCCAATGGAGCTTCATAATCTTATGGAAAGAACTAGAGAAATTGGTGAATTATTTCTCAAAATTTCCGCTTTGATAAGTATCTTCGGTTTACCCATGAGCCACCAATGTTTCATGCAAAATATCATCCAAATTAGCTTGAGGTCACATATGGTAGTTCAAGATTTCCCCAGCGACGAAGCCACAAGCTTTCCACCTCTTGAGGAGAGTGATCGAAGATGTCCATTTTGTAAAACAGATCCATATATGTTTTTTTCCATAAGAAAGCTGTGAAACGGTCCAAGGTGCGAATGACAGATTGGGTAAGGTGTCAAATTATAATGCCGATAATGACAAATTTGAGGAGGTGAAAGATCAGTGTAACTAAGGTGTCATGAAGTCCAAGCGAGAAGCTTGTACAAGTGGTGAATATTGGCTTATTACAATAATTTATCTTTGTTGCAATATCACTGTTTTATTTTTAATGCATATTATTATTAAAGAAATTTTCATCGTTTGGGTTGAAAAAAAAATTTTGTCTCACAGTTTGGCAAAGTGAGATTTCATTCTCATGTTTTGACAGTTTCAACATTTTATGACGAAAATGCCTCTAACGAATTAAACCAAACCGCACAGTTACTGACCGGTTTAGTTTCTTTTGATTTTTGTTGCGGTTTAAAAAAAAAAAAAAAAAAAAAAAAAAAACTGTCGAAGAAAACGAAGAAGAAGAAGGAGAGAGAGACGGAGAGATTCAAGAGAGAAGTTGAAATCAGTTCGAAATTCATTCATCCATCTTCGTTTTTCGACATCACCGTTCGAATTGTTGGATACTTGATTTGAGGCATCGCATTGAACTCCAAAAACCGGTGAATAGAAAGTTGAAGTTTTTCCGGCGAAGACGACCTCAGAAACCTCCGGCAAGATAGAAACCTTCGAGATGGCTGGGAATAAACAAAACGACGAAGTACCGAGGAAGCAGCATACGCGGGAAGGCCCCGAGAAGGAGAAGCGGGTACTCAGAGTATCCCCGAGGAGGAAACTCTCTCCGACAAAGCCGCCGGAGGAATTGGGTAAGTTCTGATATTATTTCGTTTGTAGTTTCTTTGGGGTGTATCGGAATCTTAAAGCTTGTTTGATTAAAGGGATAGAAGTTGCCGGATTTTGCTAAATTTGTAGTTTGAAAATTTGAGAAGATGACTTGGAAATCTCTTTTTCCGCCAAAATTCAGATGTCGAGTATATAATGTCGATAATTACTGTGTACGTACACGATTTCGTATGGTTTACATCCTTACTTAATGGTATATCACTTGTAATTGCAGGCAGTACAAGCATGGCTCCGACTGAAGATCTTAATAGTCGAAGAAGTTACCAACTAGACTCTTTGC